ACTGCTCATAGTACATGGGGATGAATTTGTTCCTTCAAAAGTTTGTATGGGAGCCCCACACTTCCAGGGCTGACTGGCCACTGGCTCTCACATGTCAGCCCAGTGCCCATGCCTGTGCCTTGCTATGAGCTGGGCAGCAGAACTGTGCTGGCATTGGGACTGCTAGTGATCTGAATTTGGGGTTTCAGGGTGAAAGAAGCAGACACAGTTGTGCTTTCAAGCTTGCCTTATTTTAGAGAACATTTTCATGAGAGGTCTATGAAGAGTTCAGTTTCTCTTACAAGTAACATTCATTCATGATCTTTACTCATCTAGTGAATTTAAAGTTTCAGTCAAGAATTCTGCCCTGGGCATACCTGGAGTAGCCATGCAGTGTCTTTGATAGTTTCACTTTACTTTTAACTGTGGGTGGCCTGGGCTGGAGGCTCGAGGTGTGGCCCTGGCTGGGTTCAGTTGTGTTTGGCTTTGCAAGGCTGTAGCCTCGCCTGTGCAGAGTCAATAGCAGGCTTCAGTCTTTCAAACATTTACTTAGGTGCTTTACACTGAGGCTGGCCAAGTGACTCAGAGCATGAACTGAAGCACACATGTAGATTTTAGGAGTTGAGACTTTACCTTATGAACAATGGCCAGGCTGTGATCTACTCTCTTACCCTGTGTGAGCAGAGTAAGTAGTGTTTGCCGCAGTTTGCCTGGACGTAAAATGGAGATAGTTCAGTTTTGGGAAGGTCTCAAGATCTTTAGCTGGGAGTTGTTATTTAAAACGGAAGTTTAACATTAAAAAGACAGGTCACAAAGGTAAATGGCAAGAAGAAAGTTAAAATACATAGGGCATCCTATTTTCCATGAGTTGATGTTTACATTATATAATTCAAATGAGGGGAATTACTTGCACTGGAGAAACTTCTCAGGAAAAAAAGCAAAGATAGGCTACAAACAGTAAAAAGATCTACATTCTATACATACACTATATATTCTACATTCTATACATGCACTGTTTATAGCTGCACTGCCTTCAAAGCAGCACTGAACACCTGCCATTCCGCTGTTTGCTGCCTCCCTTTTCACCATCCTGTCTGTGAGCAGCCTGTTCGTGGTATTTCATCCTCTTGGTGTAACTGCCAAGACTTAACAAGTGTTGAACACCTGCACCAGCATTGTGTAAGGTGGGCAGTGCGGAACAGGAAATGAAAACACCAGAACAAGCAGCAGCAGACACCAGCCAGCTTCACAAAGAAGTACAATACTGATATTCTTATTAAAAAGTAAAAAAAGAAGTTATTAAAAATGGCCTCTGTGTTTATTATATGTTATGTCCTAAAATCTAGCAATTTAACCCTCACGTTCTTCAAGCCAAAGGTATTGTAATGACATAACTTTGCCTTAATTAATTCTAACACTCTATAATTTTTCCTATTATTTGCTGCCATTGTAGAGAGAAAGAGCCATGTTCTCAATTACCTACATAAACATGATTTATTAAAATCAAGATTCCTCTTTCTCTGTATTTGTTATAGAGAACATCCCCTCTGCTTAATCTTATTTTTGGGAATATACTGCCCATGTGAATAACACGGTCATCAAGATACCTAGCATTTATTAAGATGTTAAGAAGTTAAAATTGCAGCAGGTGAGATAAGAAGATGTATTTTTTGCATTAGTTTATATATATATATATAATTGTAAGTCTTCTGTCTTCAAAATATCTGGCAGAAATTTTCAGCTTTAAAAAACAGAATTTGAAAATGTTTTCCATTTAGTTGCTGAAAGAAAGGGCAAATTTTAAATGGAACCAGAATTTTCCATAATTTTTTTCCAGGGAAAATGTGTTCTATTTACAAGGAAGTATTTGTTTGTTTGCTTGTTGATGACATTTCAGAATCTGATTATTTTATCCCATTTAAAATGCCAGCTACTGCTCTGATATTCAATGGATATGGTGCAAGTCTTTTAAATTCAGTTGGTTTTGTCATCTTACCAGCACATTAAACTTATTTTTTACTTGCATTTTAGTATTTAATCTAAACAGCGAAAGCCAAAGCTGGCAATCTCCTCCATTATCATCCATGTATTTCCTACTTGGAACAAAACGTGTAACTTAACTTCAGCTACATGCCAAGTAACCAGGGCAAAGGCAGGTTTGCAGAAAGAAAGATTACTTTTTTGTTTAAACTTGTAGGAGCACATGTGTGCCTTCATCATTCAGTCCTTTCTGAAGCTCACACAAGTCACCAGCCTGAAACAGAACTAGCAACCTTGTATTGCAGTGGGTTCAGAGGGAAGTTGAAAATCCAATTTCATGTTCAGTGGTGTTGTATTATTTCTTAAACTGTATTTTCCAGAAGCAGCCACAGTCCTTTCTTCCCAGTGCTCACATTAACTGGTTTTATTGTGAATAGGTTCAAAATGGGAAGGAATTGCCATGTTGTGGTGAAAGGGTACTAGGTCAAGTAACCCAGGACTGAATGCATTGCTAAAAGCATTTTAAAAGGAGTCCTGCAGCTCTTTGAACACATGCACCCTCCAGGCACATCAGGAGTAGTGAAGGACGTCCTCTGAGCCTGGCTGGGCATGCAAGCCAAGGATAACTGGTGCTGCAGTGAGAGGAAATGTTGTCTCCATGTTCAGGGAGAATGAGATTAGTCACTAACCCGTGTCCTTTCCAGACTGAGCCTACTTCATTTAATGAAAATGCAAATCATCCATTACAAATGTATGTGTGTTGTGGTGTAAAAGTGAATTTACTGTGAAATTAGTTTCAAATGGGGAGAAAACCAGATGCAATTTTTACCACTGTTTTTTACAGTGCTTATAGGCACAGCATTCCCGTTGCCTGCAGTGGGAGCTGCAGGAGCCAGGAGTGAGTAAGGAAGAGATGGATCCACAAGGTTTCCCTAACATTTGGTAGCCTCAAATCAGTTAGTTCTTGTTGAGCATATTCTGAACCACCCACAGGATTTTATAGTTCTGATCCTCAGGGGGTATTTTCTCATCCTTGATCACAGTCTGTGAATGGTTTTCCCCTCCTGGATCACTTGAAACTGTCTGATTCTCCCTCTAAAATACTTGCAACTACAATTTACTTATTTCTCTTGTTTATGACCAGAAAAATTATTGCACTTATTGTGTTACAATATGGAAAATTTGACACAAGTGAAACAGAGAGACCTTAACCAAATCTGGAGAAGTTGGGCTTGTTCCTATCTCAGTGCTGTACTTCTCACCTGAACAAGAGAGTAAAATGTATGAGGTACACACTGGATCAAAATTACAACATGTTGTACTATGTACAACTTACGAAACCTGCAGCTACCACCCTTTCATGAATAATTCTTCATTTAATAAAATAGTTTAGGCTTGAAATAAGCAAATGATGAGTAACGGCTATTCACACAATTAGTCAGGCAAGGTGTGCATGTGTCGGTCTGGCATTCACCTAGAGTCAGAATCTGGGATGGGCCCAGTGTTTGTATTTAGCACTGATACAGTCTTTATCTGAGATGTACTGAGCAGTTCTGTCTTACGTTAAACTGCTATTTCTTACATACTAGCTATTGCCGTTCAATGCCAGGTACGTTACATCCTGTTCATCCTGCAAATTACAGACAGTCTAATTCTGTGTAATTGATCAGTCAAATAGAAGGTATAATTCTATCAGCAGTGGCAAACCTCCTAACATATAATATTACTAGGAAATTGGTGAACATGATGAGAATATCGTCAGTGTGGACTGTGACACTAAAGTCAGATTTCTATGTATCACCTTTCAGATGTAACACCAGGCAGGAGTGTTCAAAAAAATGTCATCAACAGGATAAAAGCAGTGGGAGAGAAAAGGGCCTGAATGTCTGACAGGCATGAGCCTGGCACCAGGACATGGGAAAAAATCACTGTCATCTTCAAGGATGCAGTAACACTTCTAATTGGCATTTCTTCTTAGAAAGGAAGGGGTTGCTGATTGCTCAGCAGTCAGGAGGAGCAAATCATAATGGGAGCTCTTACCCTGCAGGTTATGATGCAAGTGAGATTCATGGACTTATTTCCCCACCAAAATATCAGATTAATGGTCAGCTCTTGACATCTGAGCAGTATTGTGAGTCTGTGTAGGAAATTACACATCCTGTCCCTGACTCCCTCCAGGCAGACCAGACTGCTCTGCAAGGCCTTTACAGCTACGTGAGAGGCTTGGGCAGTGGGTACACCATATAGCTGTCCAGTATCTGGTGCTCTTCACAGTCCTGTTGCTGCCTTTGTGCTGATACTTCAGCCTATTCTGTTTGGCTCTGTTGCATCTTCCGGTCTCGGGAAGCGCAGGGAACATTTGCCTTTGATCTGTGATTATTGTGCTACCATAATGACACCCATGGGATGCTGCAAAATGCCAACACAAGTTTGCCATGGCACATTTCCTGCTGGGACAGTCTACAGGACTACTATAGTCCTGCCAAAACACTGCTCACATTGTGCTAGTAGCCTGTTGTTGTGTACTGTTGCTCTTACCAAGCACCTAAACAGTAACCATAGTGGCTGAGACAAGGAGCTTGTTTGATCCTAGAATGGGGGACACATTGTCATAGGCAAGGGCGTCTCACCCTTGAAAGGAAAGCAGCCTCCACAATGGCAGGAAATGTCTGCCAGACAAGGGAAAAGGGAGCTGGCCCAGGGGCTGGAGCGCTTGTGTGGTTTTTGGACACCTGGTCTTCGCTCTGCTTCACGCTTCCTGTGTGACTTGGAGAAAGTTGTTTGAGCATCTGAATCCCTTTTGTACCTTCTCATAAGTTCCCAAAGCAATTCAGGCATGCCAGTAGGGCTAGGGAGCCTAAATAACTTTGTGCATCTGCCCCTAAGTTTCATTGTATCCCAGTCCTTTGTCTTTAGGGAGGGAACACCACCATTACCTCCCTCCCTGGTTTGTGGTGAGGATAACACTATTAAACACAATAAGATTTGTTGAAGACTTAAGGATATGTTAATTATAACTTAATAATAAATAAATATCTTACGGTGTGCAGTTGGGTCTCTTTGGCACTGTAAAAGCTCCACTGGATAAAGAAGTTTCCCATTGATCCAGAACTCGTGTATGTACAGAGGAGGGTTGCATTGCCACCTGTAGTGACATTCACTATCTTCTCAGGCACGGTCACCACAACACCGCTGACATGACCTGTGGGCAGTAAGTGAGGTGAGGAGGGATCAGCCAGACCCTGGGAGCCGTGCAGGAGCACTGCACTCCCTGCACCATCGAGGAAACCCGTAGGACTTGTGCAGTCCTTCTTTTCAGTACCCTCTCCGTGGGCCTTTGAGTGATGTCAAGGTGGGAGTGGGTAAAAGCCAATAAGCAAGTAAATCCCCCAGATTACCTGTGCTCTTACAACAAATAATACTCTGAAAAAGCAGAGTTTGTTTTTACATACTTGTTCTCACTTGCAGAGACTTGTCTGCTTACTCAGTGCCTGTGGCTTAACCAAACCTTTCTCCTCACTTGCAGTGCTCTCCTGCAACTTGCACTCACAGCTGTGTTGCGCCCTTTTTAGGAGTGTGACCAGCAGGTCGAAGGAGGTGATCCTGCCCCTTTATTCTGCTCTCGTGAGACCTCACTTGGAGTATTGTGTGCAGTTCTGGTGTCCTCAACATAAAAAGGACATGGATCTGTTGAAACAAGTCCAGAGGAGGGCCACGAGAATGATCAGGGGACTGGAGCACCTCCCATATGAAGATCGGCTGAGAAAGTTAGGGCTGTTCAGCCTGGAGAAGAGAAGGCTGCGTGGAGACCTCATAGCGGCCTTCCAGTATCTGAAGGGGGCCTATAGGGATGCTGGGGATGGACTCTTCATTAGGGACTGTAGTGATAGGACAAGCGGTAATGGGTTAAAACTTAAACAGGGGAAGTTTAGATTGGATATAAGGAGGAAATTCTTTCCTGTTAGGGTGGTGAGGCACTGGAATAGGTTGCCCAGTGAGGTTGCGAATGCTCCATCACTGGCAGTGTTCAAGGCCAGGTTGGACGAGGCCTTGGGTAATATGGTTTAGAGCGAGGTGTCCCTGCCCATGGCAGCGGGGTTGAAACTTGATGATCTTAAGGTCCTTTCCAACCCTAACTATTCCATGATTCTATCCTTCTTACCCTTATTTTTTTCAGTTACTCCTTTAAATGTCTGAGCTCCTTTATGGTGGATCACCATCTCCTACAGTGTTGTCTGTTCTTGCATTCTTACATTCTGACTGGAGTCAGTGGCCCTGTAGGTCCCCCATGTTGGAGCCCAGCACTTTGCTCTTGCTAACTACTTAGCTTTTCTTTAAGTTTTTAGGGCTTACATGCAGAAGCTGTTCTATTCTAATGCTTTTACACTGATAACTTGAGACTACACTTTTTGGAACTGCTTTTATTCTGTGGGTTGTGAGAAATTCTGTGATAACTTGATCAACCCTTTTTGCTGTGCTCAAAGCAGAAAGGGAGAAAACGTAACATATGAGCCCTTTCCCATAGTTTTGCGATCGGTCTTGGCTACACAGTCATATTAAGGAAAGGAATCAAACATCATCTTACAATATTTATCTGTTTCTCTCCTTCATATAAGTTACTAACAATAGTGACTTATGGCAACAAAGCAAGAGCTGTCAGAAGAATCAGTCTGAATTTCAAGGTTTTGCTAGATCACCGAGCCTGGGTTTAAAGCTACCACCTGAAGATTCTGAAGGATAATATGTTTTCATTGAGTGTGATGGAAAACATGAGTCTGTTGGAGCTTTCTATGCAAAACAGGCAAAGTGAGAATGTTATAATAATAGCAATTTTTACATGGGTTTATTGCACATATGAATGATAGAGGCAAAACACATGGAATATTCTTCTCAATAAGATAGCGCATCTTATGTTTGGGTGCTGCTTTTGAGAGTTGAAGCAGAACCTCCAGTAATGCTGAAAGAGTGTTTTTCTTGAATTATCAGCCTATGAGGGAAAACACTGTTTAAAAAATACATATATCTATCTTGGCATTTTTAACCATTTAAATCTTGCAGATCCATTAGTTGCTACAATATGCAAACCTATCTGAAGACAGAGCCTGAACTCTTTGAGGTCTGTTTTTTTTGATGGCTTCAATTTGTTCCTAGTTTGATGGCTTAGTAAAGGCTAAGCGCAAGGAAGAAGAGAATATTGTACTTTCCAGATTAATGGTTGCTAGGATGAGAACTAGCGGGTTTAAACTACAGCAAGATTTACGTTATATGTGAAGACAGCCCCACAGGGATGGCTGGAGATTGACCTAAATGTATTAAACCTGCCTTGGGGACAGAGAGGATCCCAGTGCTGGCTGTAAGTCCTGCTTGTCCTGTAAATTCACAGTAGCTTAATCCTCCCTCAGATCTAATATAAAAGCTATATCACATTTCAGATATCTCAGTTCACTGTTCTCAGCTTTAAGAATTAGAGTTGGCCAGAGAATTCTGGCCAGGTTTACGTGTATTTATTTTCTAGTCTTTGCAGGATTAAAGTTATGATCTTTCAGCACAAGGTCATTCTACTGAAATTTCCATTTTCCAGCCGTCTGCTCCACGTATTTCCTTTATCATTCTCTGAGTTTGGAGTCAGGAGTGCCACAGAACCTGGCTTTTCCAGAAAAATGAATGGATTTTAGCAGAAGTGACTCCACAAAGCATTCTCATTTCCATGAAGCTATGTATTTTGAAGAAATACATTTAGTTGAAATAGGCTTAAATATAAATATAGGCTTCAGTAAAACTATAAAGCCAAATCCTATCAAACTTCCATTGTCCAGTGAAGCTACTTAAAGCCATCACTAATTGCAAGATGGAGCGTTTGACTAAACATGGAGTGAACTGGACATACACAGCCTTTCATCTCATCACGGAAGTTGATGAGAGTTTTGCTTTACGTTTAGTTCACTGTTTAAGGTTTCAAACTTGTAACCTTATTTCATACATACAGGGTTTAAATGAAAAAAGCACATGAGTAAGAGGTAACTCAGTGAGAAAGCTAGAGTGAACAGACTATAACTTGTTAAAAATTAATCCGTATCTTTTACTCATCACTATTATGGTAAGACCGTTTCCTTGCTACAGAGAAAGTCATTGCAGTTAATTGGGAATTGTCCACTTTCACTGGAGTCCCATGCAGATTTTAACTCTCATGGATTAAATCCATGTTTGCCAATCTTTTCCTAGGCACTATAGAAACCGCCAGCCAGCACCCATCAGTACAGGCACACTTCTAGTCATAAATCCAGATTTTAAACTTAGAGGACATTGGTTTAAGAAGTATCGGTACTAATTCTGAATTACTTCTCATTCCTAAGGCAAAAATCTGTGTGGTTTACATGTGTGAGAGAAAGAGAACATTGAAACACCAGGAACAGCTATTTAAAATATTTCTCTGGCATCTAAACTAGGCAATTCCATCTTGAAAATGTGGGAGCTAACTTCCATTTTCTTTAGTGAACACGGAGGCTGTTCATCTCCGTGGAGCATCAGACTTAAAATGTCTGCTTCTGTATATATTGAAAATAAAGCTTAGCATGATGAAATGTCCTTGAAACATGAATAATACATGATCTTTAATATACCATATAATTCCTAGATTCCACAAAGGATAATGTTCTCACTTAACTTCAGCGATTATTCCCATGCTTAAAGTTAAGCATCCCCCCAAAATTTTTGGTTGAGGTGGGACCAAGTAAATCCGAGCATGAATCCGTAGCATTTCCCAGGGTTATTATCAAAGGGAAACAAAAGCTGAACATGAGAAAACCTAACCTCAAAACACCTGAAAGACCGTGATGTCTCCATGTGAGCGATCTTCGCCTCGTCCTGGTGTTAGAGCAAAGCATTAATTTATCAAAGCTAAAATTCAGTTCTTGACCACAAGCTCTTTCCAGTGAGTGCTCAGCTTGCTGATTTCCACAACATGGTATAGCATTCTAGCCATGATTTTCATTCCATCCTAAAATGAGCCTTGAATGTTCTCCTAGTTTGCCAGTCAGCTTCACCTGCTCTCTTATTTCAACAAGTTCCTTTATTCCAGTGCCATTATGATCAGTTTGTTATTCTTACTTACCTGTAAGGATGGCCAGAACTGGAAATACCTTCAGCATCGTTGCAAACATCTTGATGCAGCAAGAGAAAAGCAACCAGATGCTGCTTCGGGCTTCGACTGAAACTCAACTCTTGTTTATTTTAAGTGGGTTTTTGTTTTCCTTATCAGCTGTATATCAACACGTCAATGAGCTTTTTCATTCTCCTCCTTTATCACATGTGTGCCTTTCTCCGACTAGTGGTGTGACTGTTCAGTTGAAATCATTTTGTGGGGTTTGAGCAACTGAGGGTTTTGTTAATAATAAACCCTTGAATCAGAGAAGCCCAGATTTTCCCACTTTTGCCAGGGCTCAGTAGTATTTGCCTACATAAGTCCTTCCAGTGAGTACAAGAAAAGTATTGGTGGAGTTATTTAGCAGTCAATCTGATTACCAGTGTTGGAGTCAGGCCTAATATGAGTAAGGGATAATCTTTATTTCCTGTTAAATTGTAACATTTCTTTTTTAAAATGGGCATGTGGAGATAATACATTGTTAGTACATTTTCATTGTAAAACTATTTCCCATACAGTTTTATACAGAATGATTACATTAGACTCATGGGTGTCTTGAAGTTTCTGAATAGAACTCATCAATAGCACCCCAAAATAAAGGTAACAGTTATCTTCTAAACTGATAATAAAATCCATTTCATCAATTTTTAATCCATGAAGTTGGATGCTACTAATACAAAATTGCAAGGTGAATATATTGATTTTTATTTAAATTTAAATGCCTGATGCATGTAGTGAAAAGCAGTGGGTGAAGGTTAGGACTTGAAGAATTAACTAAAATAGCTTACTTTGTCCTTGCTGGATGCAAAATGCCTTCTCTAACTCTTTAAAGCTCATTAGGAACTGAAGGTGCTCAGTTTCTTGCTTTCTTTATTCCATGTTGTCCAGGGAATTCAAAGCCCCAAGCTCCGATAGGAATAGCTGGTTCCGTGCACACAGCCATGTGTTAGTGAACAGCTGAAGACATAACAGAGGGCAGCATTGCCTTTTAGATGTGTGCCTGTACCTAGGACCAAGGTGGTGAAAATGGTCAGTGACCTTTTTTCCATGCTTGTTGAATTTTATTCTGCCAGATATTCCTGTTTGTGGCAGATGTCTGAATAATCTCTTGGCACATGTCAGGGTTTGATTATATTCTTAAATGAGCCATCTCCAGAAGTTTTATAAGGCATGTCTTCTTTAGTTCTGACTATTAGTGCTTCATACAGCATTCCCAGAGGGTGAGCAGTGCTTGTCTTTTAGTGATGGGGACAACAAGACTTGGAACAGTTCAATGTGTCATCCAAGGATGGATGCACAGGTGACCTAGAGTCCGTGTAAAAAGGAATCTGTACACTGAAAGACTGAAATTCAGATTCAGGTTTCTTCCAAAAGTGTTTAAATTCACCTTCACTAAAGAAACATGTAGGGATCCCAAATGCACACAGGGACCTCTCATGGGTTTTCCCTGGGTCAGCCTAAAATGAGAGCTACTGCTGTTTTCCAGTCTTTTAGCTATGGATGAACACCGATGATCTAAACATGAGCACAGTTGACAAAGCCATTTCAGTGATAGCCTGTGGCAGCCCCATAATACCCAGGAGTCTGACTAGTAGCGCACAGAGCACTGAACCTTTGCAAAAGACACTAGTTTTCAAGAAGATGCAAAAAACATTGCCAGTGTGCACTGCAAGTCAGCATGCACCTGCATGAGCCCGTGTCTTACACGATATCAGTGTGTCCTCCAATTTCCTCTCATTTATCAACACTGAAGTCCTTTCTCTGGCACTTAAGGCACCCTCAGTTAATATATATTTTCTCCATGTTATATTCACTTTTTGTCAATGAAGTCTCTGAAAGATGACAGACCTACATGCCTCGAGGGTGAAATGCTCAGTTTGCCCAGAGAACAAGATCCAATAACACATCTCCTGCACTACTATGTGCCCGTTTAAGCTTGGGACACAGGGCTGAGATTACCAATTACAGAGCGGGTGAATCTCATAGCAAATGATTGCAACCATCAATCCTGTTTTACAGAGGATACTGAACACCAGTAGCATTTATTTTTTACTATTACCAGCCTGGTCAATCCAGAAGCATGTGCCCTAATGCTAATCTTCCAAGCCATCCAGGGTTATTATTCTGTGAAGGTAATAAATGGTACCTGCCAGCTGCTGGCTTTGCTTCTAGCTCATTGCTACTGAAGAGCACCACTGCCTGTTCAAATGTCACCTTAGTAAAAGAACTGAAGCAAAATGTGGCTTCATGTGATGATGGTTAAGGTTAGGTTACAGTGGGATGGCAAGGAAGCTCTCACTCACACCACCAGCCCTCAGTCAAGAGGAGAGAAAAGCCCAGAGTGTGGCAGTGGCAGCAGTTGCTTTGCCTTGGGTGGAGCAAGGACTCTTATCTTGAGATAAAATGAAAGGGGCCAGTACCAGGAACTGTATGTTAGCAGACTTCATGACTCAAATCTGTGTACACTGAAATGTATTCAGAAATGTTCCCTTCCAAGCAACTCCCTTCTATTCACTCTATAAATAGAAGTGTCAGTCATTAAAAAACTGAAGCCCAGAGGCACACCCAGAGCAAGGCAGCATCACCCAGCCAAGCACTGCCATGATATTTAGGGGTTGCTTCTGAAACCTAATTAAAAACCTTCCTGTAGAATTCCAGGTTTACCTTGACAAAGCTCAGCAGCACTTCAGCTGCTTTCTCTTCCTGAAATATGCTAAATACATGATTGTTCAAAGACACTAAATAGCATAAAGTGATTTATAAAGCTCTACTTCAGTATCGCATCTGATTGCTGAGGATGAAAAGTGCAATTAAAGATTCAAACAAGTACAGTAAAAGAGCTGCTTTAAGCCTCTAAATCCATCATTAGGTTGACTTTTAAATGCACTTTACAGTTTGCTTATTGCACAGTCTCATTTGTTGTTTAAAAAATATTTATAAGCTTTTGCTGGAGTGTTTGCTGCCTGAAAGGTAATTCGTGAACTCACTGTTATTTTCAAGCTCACAGTGAATTAATGTCTGCAAAGGTATGAGTGCTATGAACTCTTCTGGGGAGAGCACCCTGGCCTGTTGCCTTAAAATAACTCGGTCAGAATTATGCCTAATCATCTGTATTCAATTGCCAGAATAAGCACAATACCATTTTCTTGTAAAGGTGCTGGACTGGTCTTTTTTATATTATCCCTTTTCTATCTAACAAGCTTTCCTCTTTCTGAAGGGAAAAATCCCCAACACTAAAACGAGATACTCCAGATCAGTGATTGCCAGGAGGGTAGAGGGCTGCACGGCCAGGCCCAGCGCTTTGGGATGGGTTTGGTGGGCTTGTTCCTGGGCTTTCTGCCTGCTTTCATATGGCAGTGTCTCTGCTATCAGTGTCTCGAGGCAGGTTTCCTGGGCATGGCAGAGCAGCAGGGGCTCACATGTCACATCTGGCTGTAACACCTTTGCAGGTCTGTGTCCTGAGGATGGCATAAAAGCTGTTGGCTCCGTGTTGTGGGTGTATCCTCAGTGAGCCCTGAGCACGCCTTCTTTCTGTCCTGCTTGCCAGTTAGCATCTTTATTCTCAGAGATAGTTTGCCTTGTTGTAAATAGTGTGTATCTCATTATGCTGGATTCCATTTAGATTTCCCATGCTCTGTGTGGTTAGAATAGCTTCTATTTTGACAAGCTAGGGAACAGGTTAGGAAAGCTAAGGCCCAGTTAGAATTAAACTTGGTTCAGGATGTGAAAGATAACAAGAAGAGATTCTATAGGTACATTGCAAATAAAAGACAGCCTAGTGACAACGTAGGCCCCCTCAGGAAGCTATCAGGAGAACTGGCTACCCTAGGTTTGAGAAGGCTGAGGTTCTTAATGACTTCTTTGACTCAGTCTTCACTGGCAAATGCTCTGACAACACCACCCAAGTCTTGGAAGGCAGACAAAGGGACTGTGAAAATGAAGACCCTAGGCCCACTGTAGGAGAGGATCTGGTTCAAGACCATCGTAAGAACCTGAACATACACAAGTCCATGGGACCTGATGAAATCCATCTGCAGGTCCTGAAGAAGCTGGCAAATGAAGTTGCTGAGCCACTGGCCATCATATTTGAGAAATCATGGCAGTCAGGTGATGTTCCCGATGACTGGAAAAAGGGAAATATAACCCCCATTTTCATGAAGGGGAAAATGGATGACCCAGGCAATTACAGACCAGTCAGTCTCACCTCTGTGCCTGGCAAAATCTTGGAACAGATTCTCCTGGAAGGCATGCTAAGGCACATGAAAAATAACAAGGTGCTTGGTGACAGCCAGCATGGCTTCACTAAGGGGAAATCCTGCCCAACCAATTTGGTGGCCTTCTATGATGGGGCTACAGAACTGAAGGACAGAGGTAGAGCAGTTGATGTCATCTACCTGGATTTGTGCAAAGCGTTCGATACTGTCCCACACAACATCCTTGTCTCTAAATTGGAGAGACATCAATTTGATGGATGGACCTCTCAGTGGATAAAAAACTGGCTGGATGGCCGCACGCAAAGAGTTGTGGTCAATGGCCCAGTGTTGGGACCGGTCTTGTTCAACATCTCTGTCACTGACATGGACAGTGGGATTGAGTGCGCCCTCAGCAAGTTTGCCGATGACACCAAGCTGTGTGGTTCGGTTGATACGCTGGAGCGAAGGAATGCCACCCAGAGGGACCTTGTCACGCTTGTGAGGCGGGCTGATGTCAACCTCATGAAGTTTAACCATGGCAAGTGCAAGATCCTACAGCTGGGTTGGAGCAATCCCAGGCACAGCTACAGGTTGAGCAGAGAAGAGATTCAGAGCAGCCCTGCGGAGAAGGACTTGGGGGTGCTGGTCAATAAGAAACTGAACATGAGCCAGCACTGTGCACTTGCAGCCCAGAAAGCCAACCATATCCTGGGCTGCATCAAGAGGAGCATGACCAGCAGGACAAAGGAGGTGATCCTGCCCCTCTGCTCTGCACCACGAGTGCCCTGCCTGATGCAGGTTATAGAATGACTCTAACAAAACGTGCCACCATCAGAGAATGCATTTATGCACAAAAACCAAAGCAAGCTCTCTGCCACATGATAAATCACAGTAAGGTGGTTCTGCCTTTGTACAGTTGCTGCTCCCTTCACTTTGCATTGGCTGCATAACCTTTTCACTGCGTATGATTGACTCTCATTATCTCTTTTTTCGAGCCATCGTCTTCACTTTCATAGCTTAACAGCTTCTGAAACTCTTATGAGTTTAACTGTTCCTTGAGTTTGGCAGCATTTGTTGTACTTGTCTAAAATGAAAGATGCTTTCAGCTTATGAGTGCATATAAGTATAATTTATGTGGTGCCTGCTTGTCTTAACAGAATAATGTAATTTTAGGATTACTGTGCCAAATTAAAACCTGGCATAAGATTCATGCAATTGTGTTGAACTCTGTGCCTTCCACCTGGTTCTGCTGTCTCTGAAAAGGAGGGTTTAGGTGGGTAGATGTTAGAATGATGTTAGTGTTTGGTACTTGTCAAACACACCGATGTGTGCTGTCAAACGAATACAAGGTGATCTCATTCTTCATTTTAAGCAATAGCTTGTTTTTAGTTCTCAGTTTCAAGGAAATGCTCGGACATAGAAACCTCAGTACTGACCTCAGCTGCTCCCTACGCTAAGTAGGGAGGAGTTGCTAAAAATCTCTTTGCTTTTGGTGTGCTCCAGTTTAGGAAAGAGACCAAAGCAGCCCCTGGAGTCTGGCCTGAGCTTCACCTGGGTGTGAATCCTTTCCACGCTACTTTGCATGACTGGCCCCAGGAGGGAACTGAAGGCTTAGGGAGAAGCTGTTGCCTCGTCCAGGCTCTACAGCTCGGCTGCCCTCTGAAGG